TTCTTTCCACTTTTTTTTTTTTTTTGGTCCATTCATGAATGGTTTTTAGAGGTCAAAGGGTTCATTTCTGTGCCTTTAGTATCAGAATATGGAATTGCTATCATTCCTAAAAAAAATAATTAGGCTGATTTAAATGTCACAAACCTCTCAAACTAGTTTAAAATTGCTTTCAAATAAAATTACTGCTCATTTTGAAAATGACTTGCCACAAATAGCTGAATTAGGTTCATTGAGCAAATGTCATTGTCATTCCAACTGATTCAGCAAGCGAGTTGTCCAAATCAATCACACTCATTTTAATTTAATTTATGATTAAATTTTAGTTCCCGACAGTGTTGTCTTAGTATCATTGATGTACTATTATAGGTTTTGGAAATATTTTGAATTTAAATTTTATTTTTATAATTTCTGTTTCACTTTAATTTTTGTTAAAATTGTAGTAATTTTGTTACTAATTTTTATTATTTTAATATGTATATGTCGGTTTTTATTAATTTTTATTAATACTTTTTTTAATTAATTTTTTTTATTTGAATTAATTTTTTTAATAAATTATTTTAAAAATATTACTTCAAGGTAAACTACAAGAAAATGAGAAATGTTGCTTTGGTAACTAGCTGAAAAGAAAAAAAAAACCTTTACCTTATTTTAATTCCGTTAACGTTCATTTTATTTTAAAGAGAGATTTAAAAAAAAAAAAAGGTTTTAGTTTAGATAACTCTGGATTAAGTCTATTCAATATAAAGATAACAAGCAAGTTGTCCAAATGATTGAGGCTAAAATAGTTGATTCATTTCCATTTGAAATTGAGAACACTAGTTGAATGCTATTGCTATTGTGTGCAACTTTTGATAAAGAAATCATGAAGAAGGCTTTAGTTTTATTTAGTCTCTTGTCATGAAATTTAGTCTACAGTTAAAATATAAAATAGCAGCGGGTCAGTGTGCTATTGAGAAGCACTGTATTCGTAATATAGATTTACAGTCTGTACATCATCAGCCTACAGTGTACATCTGGACAGATTTTACAGCGTAATATAGGCGTTTATAAGCAGAATAAAACGTTAGTACCTGTGGTATTAGCACCAGGGGTCATTATTTGACTGTAGACGTAAAATAGTAGTCGCTGAATGTAATCCGGCTTCTGGACGTTATTGAAGGGGTTACAGATTTGAGCTATATTGGGTTTTTTCCCCGCTGGTCACCGTTGGCAGCGTGCTCATATTCTCTATTTTCAGTTGTGTGTTTTTGTTGAACGCGTCCCAGCTCAAGTGTATAGTATTTGGCCCAGATTCTTTCCTCTACCCAGTAAATATGATGATCCAACGGCACGCAGTCTCTCCAAACTCTGACACGCTCTGTGATCGCTTTCAGCATGCAGCCAAGCAAAACCACAAACTCCTCACTGACTGGGAAATATCAATCAGTACATTCTCATCCAAATCCCGAAGGCGTTGTCGCTTATTAGTTTTATTCTTAAGCGACGGTTTGCCAAGACCAATAAAGTGATTCCTTAACCGTCAACCCATCAGTCACGTTACGAGTACTATCTTTCTCCTAACCAGTTCATCTGTAATTGCCTTCAGTTGTAAAGGCTGGCATTAATAAAACAAGCAGTATATGTAGTAAAACTTTATATTAAACCGATGGTTTTAGACTCCAGTTGAAAGGTAAAAGAGTTTTTTTTTTAGGCGTTCTTGATGTTTAAAGCAAGTGTGGTGGCCAATGCCTGTAGCTTCCAAAAGCAGCGTTCTTCTGTCGAGTTGTTGATCTTCTCTCTAAATGGAGGCAGGTTGCGATGTTTACAGGAGCAGCTGCAATGGCCATCTTTTTCTTTTCCAGTATTCTCGCCCTGAAGGGTTAGTGCATACAAACATAAAATGCCATCATGTCGTTCCAAACCCGTATGACTGACTTTCTTCCATGGAGATATTTTTGAAGAATCTCCACACTTTTTTTCCCATACAATTAAAGCATACATTGGCCACAGGCTATCAAGCTGTGAAAAAGCATCATAAAAATAGTTTATATGACTTATGCGCTGTATTTTAAGTCTTCTGAAACCATAAGATAGCCATGTGTGAACAAAATCAGTTTTTTTTTTTTTAATCATTGCATTGCATTGCAGGTTTGAAACTTTGTTTCATTCTTAGGAAAATTTCAAAATGCAAAAAAAACAAACGTTCTTAAATCTTAAAACTTTCTTAAATGTAGTTTGATTCCCATTAAAAATAAATATATATTTTAATTTTGCATTGCGATTGTGGAACTTGGTTATAATGTTTCATTATGAAAATGTCACAATACCAAAAAAAAAATGTTGCTTTTTTTTTCTGGTTAAAAAAACTTCCTTAACTTCCCATACAAAATACAAAAAAATTCTTTTCTTTTCTTTTATATTTGCATGTAGGAAATGTTTCAGACAATAAGTTTTTTCATCACATAACCGGTATCATTTGACTTTGACTTGTAATATAGTGCAAGAGTTGTATGGACTACTATTATAGAGTTTTTGTGAGTTTGACAGCCATTATATACTTTCAAACGAGCATCCTGAACGTTCTGCTAAACCTTTCTTTGGTGTTCCACAGAAGAAAGAAACTCATGCAGGTTTGGAACAACAAAAGATGACAAAACTTTAATTTCTGGGTGAAATATTCCTTTATTTTCGTATTGGTCATGTGGTTTTCGTCTGCTGGAATCTTGTGTTGATCTTGCAGCGTCTGTAAGGCAGTTATGAAGTTGATTTTATAGACCTTCGTCTCTCTCTTCAGCGTCTGTTGAGAGTCAGAACGGAGCACAGCCGCTTCATATTTGTGTTATTCTCCCTCCCTCTGCGTTTGGTTCTGCTATAAAATGATCTGGAAGAGATGAGACTCTCCTCGGCCGCTCTTTCCAAGTGTCTCTGCCCAATCTTGTTTTTTTTTTCCCCTCCTTCATTTCTCATTTCTCCTCATCGCCCCATTGCTGCTTCTCTGCACTGTGTTGGTTTCTAATCACCGCTTTTTGTGTTTGTTGATTTTTCCAGAGTGTGTTTGTACTCGGCGCATGTGAGCGTGTGTTTCTGCTCTCTTTGATTTGAGTGAGTGTGCGTTTGTACACGCGTGAGTGTGAAAAAACCGCCTGGCGTTTCTTCAATTCACACGGTGTCCTAACCAGGCACGATGAAAACTTAATGCTGCAGTGATGTGACAAAATCCAGCCGATCAGAACTAATTAGTGACGTTTAAGGTGCTATTACTGTTAGTCATACTTTATTCAAACAAACCCATAACCTAAGTATTAAACTTTAATATGTAAATCGCCCCTCATTGTTTGTGATTCCTCAAATCATCTTGCATCTTGTTTCTAATTAATCAGACTTATCATTTTCATTTTGTAGATGAAAATCGGGTGTAATAAATCTGACATACTATCTAGAGACTTGAAGGGTGAACTCTTTTGACTTGAGTCCATAAGAAACCACCTAGAAATGTGATACCCTTAGTAACCCAGTGTTATTTTAGTATTATTTATATTCCGTTGTATTATTTACTATTTGAATTTAATTGAATTATTTTTTTTTTTTTAAGTTTTAGTAATTTTGTTATTTGCTTCTGGCATTTTTATTAGTTGATTTTTTAATATTTATTTAATGTTTAATATTTTGTGTAAATTTATTTCAGTCTTAGTTTTATTCATATTTATTTTAAGTACTAATAATTTAGTACTTATTTTATTAGTTGCCAAGGCAACATTTTGGTAACACTTTACAATAACGTTTCAATTGTTAACATTACTTATACAGCTTTTTTTTAATGTTAATTTAAACACACACACACATATAAAATCTTTTTTAATCAAAAATTGTATCTGTTAGCATTAGTTAATGCACTGTGAACTAACCTGAACAATGAATTGCATTTTTAACATTAACAAAATAATAAAAGCTCTATATATTTCTGAGTAAACAAGTAAAAAAAAAAAAGACCTTATTGTACAGTGTTACCAACATTTCCCATTTTATGATTAAGTTTTTAATCTAATATTTGCATTTTATCTTATTTCGGCTATGCTTCAAATAGCACAAATGATTTTGAACAGTTTTCATTTTAGTTAACATTAACACCACTGTAGACAAACACCATGCATTTTCTTAAGAATATATGATGTTATATGCAACAGTTGAAACCAAGCAACCAACTAAATGCACCAAAACTTGAATTAGCATTGTAGAGATCATCACACGATAGGTCACTTCATCATTTCATACCTGGTTAGGACAAAAATGTGGAACGATTCAGCTGGCTTCAAACATGCATTGAAAAAGCTGCTCGAATGATGTTTTTTTTTTTCCCATGTTCTTACCGGTCACTGTTTTCTTCTCCCATTCTCATAGCTTCGTAAAACTGGTCAGGTTCGAGGCACCAGTGCTGCTCACGAACAATGAGGCTAAACTTCAAGAATCCAACCACGACGACACTTGACGAAAGACATCACCGCATCCAACCAAACCGGCCAGTGGCGGCGCCGTCCTCCTCCACCAGCAGACCGCAGAATGACACAGTGATCAGTAGTACTGTACTCACACACCTGCCGACAGGGTGGACACGCATCACGCTCGACCTGTTTTTAGATTCACGCAGGTTGATCCTGTGACTTTTTCCACTTTGTTAGAAACATCAGAGTATTGCTGTATGGTTGTGTTACTCGATTTCAGAAACAAAACGACTTAATTTTGGCAGGCATCGGACCAATTCTTTGTGTTTTTGTTTGGTTTTATCTGTTTGTAATGGTTCAGATCTTTATTTTCTTGTCTGTGTTTAGTCTTTCCCCCAGATGAAGCACTTCTTTTGGTTCCTTTAAAATCCTAATCACGTTTTAATTAGTAGATTGTAATTTCGTATCAGCGTAGTCCTGCTTTTCTAAGTAAAATTTGTGATGCTACTGCACGGCATGCACCTTTGTGTAAAAACACACGTCCACCTCCCAAAACCTTTGCCACGAGTGGCTTTTGCATGAGCTCAGGCATGTTCTTAAGACACTTTGCGTGACGTAACCCCTCAGGACTCTTCAGGTTCTCCTCACCAAAATCCAGACTAATTACCAGAGCAAATCGCCACTGCTGCTGCTGCTTTTTCTTATTTTTCGAGTCGCTTTAGGACAAGCAAAGTGCTTTTATATTGCTAATCTACCTGTAACGCTGTCAGGGTTCCCACGATCTTGGAAAATCCTGGAGATATCAGGGAAAAATTGTGATTTCCAGGCACGGAAAAGTCTCAGTTCATTACAAGTGTGCATACATAAAGCAGTTTCCCCTCAGTAAATTATAATAAAATAAAATTAAAAAAAGCAAAATTCGTCATTTCACTGTCAAAGTTGCAATGCACGTAAACCACGTTGACGTTTAAAAGCTAAAGTGTGATGATTCTTGTATTTGATCTATAAAGTTGTAAATCTAAATGGTCATTTCTGAGGTGTAACTACTTTTCCCGGTGGATGAATCTGGTTACTGACATGCGAACAGTGACTCCTTTCTGGAATCCTTGCGCATATTATGCAAATGTTACTGGTGTTGTCATGACAACAGATTTAAATTCGGTGTCACTACACAGGCACAAGCAGTAAGAGATTCTAGTGCACAAGTCTCGTGGTTTTAGTGTGCACTTGAATCTTTATTGACCAGCCCTGCATTCTTTTTGCTTTTTAACAAAAACGGACAATCTGACATTTTCTACAATCGACATTCTGTCCCCAAAACCTTTCTTTAATGAAATCATAATTGATATATTTATATAGTGAATATTGCAATATCTGCAAAATGATTGATCAGAACGTGTGGGAACCCTGAGCTCTGCACCTGAATGTGTGCGTAGAGGCCTCAACAGGCGCTTAGGATAAAGAGGAGAACTTTATAAACACATTTTAAAGAGCTTGATATTTGTATCGTTTCTATATCGTACCAGGTCAGATTCGCAGTCCTCCTCGTCTCTGGCCGTCCTGCACCAGCTCAGATCATCCAGCCTTGCAAAAAAAAAGAGTCTCTGCTGTTTGCACTTGACCCGCAGTGCAGGGCTGTTTTATCTCATTGTTTATTATTAACAGGTTTTTAACGTGTACGGTTCTCGGTCCCTGTCGAGAGGAGACCGATCGGATTTTTATCATATCTGCAGCTTTTGAATTGGTTATAAATGTAACAATTAACAGTATATCTAATAAATTTCGACACCGGTCATGCTTGGTCTTTTATTTAGAGTTTTATTTTCTCTGTGGTTTTGCATGCTTTAATTAATGTGTTAACTTTAGATTCAAGTCGACGGAAAACCTGTAAGTATACCTGTAAGTATTTAGGTCTGGAAAATCATTGAAATCTATAAGGTAATTTTAGGATTAAATATCCTAATTCAATAATAGTAAAGCATTAGTCTAAAGGTGTTAGGATCTTAAGTGCTTTATTTTATTTCTGTATCTAATTTGTGGTCAGAAATGTCTAATGTGAATTTCTCCCTAGTTCTCATCAGTGTTTGTTCCTGACAGCAGCAGTAGATGGCACTGTTCCGCTTTGCCAAAGAAACAGGTAATGATTTCTTCTAAAGACCAGAGGGACCTACAAAATAAGTCTTATGGCTTTCCATTTATTATCCTTTTATTAGTTTAATTTCTTCAGTCATACCTATCAATAAATGGCCACTTATATTTCACCATGAAACCTTTCAGTGGCCTAATGGTTGTATCATTCCGTAGTGGGTTTGCAGGACACAGTCTAGGTTGTAGTATAAGGGATTTTATTTCTACAATTTTATAATCACTATTCATTAAAAAACTTTTGTTGTAAAGATAAATAATTTGACCCATGCTGCAGCAGTGAGTTCTAAAAATACAACCCAATCACCGGTTACTTACAGGAAATTAACCCTGAAGACACATTCATTATCTCTGCCTGCCATTCGTCACAGCTTGAAAATTAATGCATCTGCTAATTTACTAATTAACTGCTGCATATTTACTACAGTAGCTGTGTATAAAGGAATATAGCTGTTTAACATATGAAGGATTTGGGAGTGACTGAAGATTTACACTGATTTGTGTTTATACCATACTGCATTTAAACGTAAATTGCTTAAATGTATAGAAATAAGAGTGTAAAAAAAGAGATCTAATATTTCACACGTAGAACAATTAAATACCATCGAGCATATGTGGGTGTGTTTTTATAATATATATTTCTATGTACACATTTTTATAATATGCAAATTGTGGGGAGAAAAATTAATCCCAGTGTAAAACCGAAATCTATATCTACCATTTTATATGTACAGAATTTTAATACCAAATGATGAAATAATTTAAATTATTTTTCATTAGCTATCGGTGTTATTGATCGTACACCTTGTAAAAATAAAAATATAAAGTGTAAAGAAATCTAGCTCTATTCGTAAAATAGAGTATCACTGAACACATTGTTTTATTATTTATCCCTTATATATTAATACGTTATATAGGCTACATCTCTTAGACTTCCTTAAGCGAAGCCCCGCCCCATTGTGCGTCAGACCCCGCCCCCTGCGTATGTGTGCCTGTGTCTGCATTGGTGAGAAATCAGCGCTGGAGCAGATGAGGGAATGTCAAAATTGTTGCCGATGCCCGCGGCTCGACACATCCGAGTCCAGGATAAACGAGAAAACCCTCCTGGAGACAGAAGCATTTGATGGCACAGCGCGTATCTTATGGACGATATTAAAGAAAATGGCGATTAAATTTTGTGCTGAATACATTTCATACTGTGACAACAAAAGGGATCCAGGGCTCTCCAGTTACTAACAGCGCGCACCCACAGCGGTGCATCGAGTCTCCTCACAGGACTGAACGCACGCTCGAAGTTCTCCTCAGAGGACCGTCGATTTAATGCATTTATCGACTCTTTTTGAATAAATGTAAGTGTTTTTAATATAGAATAATTAGTCTGGATCGCGCGCATTGCATTGGAGATGTGAACATGGGACATGTGCTCCGCGCGCTGGTTTGCACTCCTCTGGATTTGTGTTGAACGACTTGGAGACGTTACACATCGAATAATGATGTAAACGAGGAGTTTTTTTTTTTAAGATGTGCATTTTTCAGGGTCGTTGCTCTAAGGACATACAAAGAGGAGTTCGCGTTTTTACGCTTATGCTGGAATTGAGGTACTTTCAGTTGTCATCTGATCTCTTACTTTCGCATCATTAAATATTTATCAATAAGCACATGCATGCGAAACGTAAACTTTATTTTTTTATTATTAAGATGTTATTGAAAATATATAATATTTACATTTTAAACCGATTGCTAACATGGGCCCCTGAGAGACACAAAAGAAAAAAAATTATTTGAAGTACAAAAAAAAAAGAAGCATTGATTGATTCAGTTGTGTCTTTTTATTTGCAGTGACAAACAAACAAAAGGAATTTAATCCTAGTGGACTGAAAATGAACTCTAATTATAACAGTTCCGGATTTCATATGAAAGGGCCGTCGGTAGCTGTGGAGCCGATGATGGGTCCTCTAAATGAATCCCCCATGCAGGGACTCAACTTTGTCTCAAATAGAGACCAGTATGGATTCCAGACTCATGGCCATGGGGATATGCTCGCAATGGGAGTTCAGCCACAACATCAACTCCACATGCAAGGACCGTTCAACCATCAACCTCCTAACCACGACCAGCATTCACATCTGTACCAGGACAGCATCCCCTCTTGCCTGCACGGGGACAGACTCATGGGCTTCAGTAACAACAACGCAGGTCACCCGCATATGTTTGAAGGAGGATTTGGTCAGCAGCTCGCAGAGGCGCAGTCGCGAGAATGCATCTCGCAGCAACAGAGAATGGCCGCAATGCCTGAATTTCAACCGCACGGCCATCCGAACGGTAACCACGCCGTTCCAGCGCCGTGTCTTCCACTAGACCAGTCACCAAACCGCGCCGCGTCGTTCCACGGCCTGCCGTCCTCGTCCCCCGAAACACACAGACTGGAACATTACAGGCTTTTCCCACAGGGCAGGATGGGGGGATCAGAGCACTGTTTTCCCTGTGATCCTCTGACGGGGAATTTCGATATGACAGGATTCTCCACCGCGGACTCTTCAGAGCACAAACTGCCCTATTGTGAAACGGGGAACCAAGTGGTCGGGGGTCATTTTTCCACTTGTAATCGAAGTGGCTCCCAAGGGCCCATGATGGGCGGCTCTAAAGTCGACCAGCAGCTACCTCAGCAGAACGTGTTTTCGGACCGATTCGGGAACCGGGGGAAAATGGATCCAGAGGTTAACGCTAGACACCACCTCATGCCGCAGCAAAGACCAGGACCCGTCGCCAGGCAGAACCCCGGTTCCCCTGCGCTTTCGCGGTTTTATCACACTCCGGACTATGTAGCGAACAATACGGACGTTCAAGGTGGTGGTCCGATGGTCCATGTTCAGCACGGCCACCTGGACCGGCCCATACATAGACTGAACAACCATAACATGCACCCCTTCGGGGAACCGGTGTTTGATGTCCCCCAGCTAGCCCCTCAGCCTCCACATCACCCTCACCTCAGCTCACTGCCTTATTTGAATATGGCAAAAAGGCCACGGTTTGATCTCCCAAATGGCTCTGCTGGAGAGAGCTGCAGCCCCCCAAGCAACAGCTTACATAATCGGCCCAATCTTGAGAACCACCTCTCCCCCTCGGCTTTCCCCTCTCCCATGGGGGACTTTGCATCTCATGTGACGGATGGGTTTCCATCAGGCCCCCTACCCTTGAGCTCCGGCCCACAGCAACAACAGCAGCAGCATCAGCAGCGGCAGCAGAACGCGGCGATGATGATCAAACAAATGGCATCGAGGAGCCAGCAGCAGAGAATGAGACAACCCGACCTGCAACAGTTAAGTCTCCACAGGGACGCCACACCAAACGGCATGGTCTGCCGAGGCCCTCTGGGTAGTGTGTCTCAGTCCAGTTTTGAGAAGAAGCATAATTTTCACGGAAACTTTGACAGCCCCCACCTACCTCAAGAAAACTCATGGTTTCCTGAGCCGCAGCAGCATTGTAGAGAAACAAACACGCATGCCTTGGAGCAGGCAGAGAATGGACACAACATTATTTTTAGGCAAGGCGTCACAAGCATGGACATGCAGTCTTTGCATTCTCCGGGAGCGCATCATCCGTTCGAAAATAATGTCATCAATCCTCTGCAGATGCAGTCTCCCGATGAGAGCAACATGCAGTCAGGCGGACCCACGGACAGGATGCCAGCTGAATTCGGAGGAATGGCGATGAGGAGGCAGCACAGCTTCCCTCCTGGAGGACAGAGTCAACAGGGAG